GCCAGGAGCACATTTCCCCCTCTCCGCAGAGGGCAGGCAGAAAAGTCCCTGCCCACAGCCGTAGGTTGTCTGTGCAGAAGGAACTACAAAATAGACCAACCGCTCGTCTGCTCTGGAAACTCAGCTGCAAAGCTACCAGAATATCCACTGGCTATGCTTCGCTGGAGCGGGATAAAGGGAGCAGAGAAGCCCGGAGAGAGCCCCTCACAAGACAGGCGTGTGTAGGAAGAAGCGCTCCTACAGATGGCAAAATGCTCACCCCGGCTGGGAAGACCTCCAACTTGGAGCCTGCTGATTTCAGAGGATATAAAAGACCGTTAAATGAATCACCCCAGAAAGATCATTCCTCGCTACACAGAAGGGGATGGTAAATAGGAAGAAAAAAAAAAAATAATGTTTGTAACTTGTTACGTCAACTACAAGTTTTTTTAATTGGTTCTTTTTACGAGTGTTAAATCTCAAGAAGGTAAAACAGAAATTAGATCCAGCTTCAGGGGAACAAATGCAAGTTACTTACTAGGCAAGATGAAAATCTTACATTGCAGCCCGAGCAGCTGCTGAAACAGCTAAAATATGTTCTGTTCTCATCTTTCCCCAAGACCCAAACCCATCGGCTCGGTGGAACAGATGAGAAGCTGAGAAGGGTGTAGACAACCTGCCATGTCCCACCAGCTTCCAAGCAGCCACCAGAGAACCCAATGCTGAACCCAAGCCAGGACCTGAACTCGTAGGATGCTTCACCGTCACATCCCAGAATTTCTAAGCCAACTTTATTCACTGCCTCCCGGGTAGATGCAATTTGTCAGGAAGTCCAGTGTCAGACACAAGAGTCACTGAACTATAACCGGCAACAAGTCTGCTTATTTAACTCCAATAAGCAAGATAATCCTGTTCTAAGGTAATATAGTGACCTAATTCACTCCCTTCACCACTTGGCAGTTCCAGGCGCTGCAGCAGACCCCGATGCGCCCGGCAGCTCCGCGCACTACAGCTCCTTCCAAACCTGCCCTCGGACAGGGGTGTTCTGGCGAGCGCGCCCACCCTGCAGCGCCGGGCAGCACGAGAACAACCCCACGCGCGATTTTAACGCAGTGGTGAAGCAGAGTGGATTCCACGTGTAAATTACAGACACCGGGATAGCTGAAAAGGTCTCTTTTTCTAAAGCAAACTCATAATGCGGCGTTGTAGCAAACAGGATGTGGTAAAAAGAAAACTAGCTAAAGGTGGTTACGCACTCGGCTTCGAGACATGCTGTACTTCCCCATGAAGCTTCTGCTGTGGAGGAAGCAGCTTCTGCAGGAACAGCCGGCTGCTGGGCTATTAAGCGCTGCCAGAGCATTTTTCTGGGTGGCTCTATTATCTTCATGTCCTCTGACTCATTAGGCGATTCTTAGAGAGTTCAAGATCATTCTGGAGCATCGCTCCTGCAAACAGTCGTGCCGTCTTCAAGAGATGAGAGCGACCTATTTGCTTTCACGAAGAAAAAGACGTAAACAGAGGACGGACACTTGTTTATGCAAATCTTAGGAAGTCTCCAGGCCATTTTCGTCCCTGGAAGGACGGCTGACGGAGTTTCCTGCGCTTATTTTGATCCTGAAGGGCAAAGCAAAGGTTTTGGTGCCCAAGCCCAAGCTGCCCAGGCGATTCCCTGCAGTCGCACACCTGGGGGAGGTGGCAGGGAGGGAATTTGGGCCAATCTTTTATACTGGGACCTGGAAAGCACTGATCCTAAAAGGATTTAAGGGCCCATTAAGGATAAACACTTGCAGCTAGTAAGACCAGCACCATAATTAGACATACTCATAGGAAAACATCCAACAGGAACGACTCCATGTACGACATCAGAAAGACTTGGATCGGGCCACTGATCAAAGCCCTGGGTTTTATATTTGAAAGAAGGATACTGAAAACCAGGAAAAAACAACCACCTGGAGCTGCAAGAAAGAATTGTGGTGTGGGAATTAAAAAAAAAAAACCACAAACAAAAAAGCTTAGCAGTGCTCATCTACATCACTTCCCAAAGGAAAAAACAGGCAGCTTGATGAAGTTTTATCATTAGTATATAAGGATAAAGCACCGTACGCTAGACAGCTCTTTAACTGAGAACATAAAGGCACAGGAAGAGCCAGCAGCAGGGGGACGGACCGGCAGAATTACAGCTCGCGATGAGAGACGTGTTTGACTCGGGTTGACTTCAACCCCCCCGAGCAGGAGCTGCCTCCCGTGGGGCGTCCGCCCCAGACCCGCACAGGTCCTGAGCCGCCGTCTCTCCGCTTCCCCGCCATACAGAGAGACAACAACAAGAGTAAAAAGGTGATTAGACTTTTAATTACCTCACCATATTTATTTTCACAGCCCTTTGCATAATGCTTGTCTAAAATTGAAGGTACTTTACCACAAGCAATTATGCTAATGGCTGGAAACAGAACTAATTTAATGGCAAAGAACAAGCTAGAAAATGTAATAAAATTCAAATGAACAACCACAGTAAGGAAATACAACATTTTCCAGTGCAGTGCAAAGTCTTCTGTTAAAAACAGTCATGTTTATCTTTAATCTTCTTTTTCATCCATTCTAAGCCCTACTTCAGAAGAAACCGGCTTCAGAAGTAACCGAAACTCCTGCCAAGTGGTCACAGAAGACCTCCTCATTTCCAGGTAACAGAGGGCAAGTACTGCTATGAGTGTACCACGGGCAAACCTCTCCGCACATCCATGAACTATGCATCTCAAGATCTGGGCGAGAAACTAACATGTTCATGAAACTCTGGGCTCTAAAATTCCAGGTTTGCTGGCTACCAACATGGGGGGAAAAAAAAAAAGAAAGATACAATCCTTCCAAGGTTACAGTTACTAACTATAATTGCGGTAACTTATCAACATAACTGCAACGTTCTTCACTGTTCTTTGCAACCAACTGTTAATGAAAAGTATTCAGTTACATAAATAGAAATATCCGTTACACATGAGCTGTTCTGTTTGACTGCTTTTTTTTTAAGGAGAAAAAAAAAAACAAAAAAAACCCCAGCTTCTTCATTTCATTGCCACCAAACAGAATGAAGCTATAGCAAAATATTCCTGCTTCAGCAGAGACATCTAAACTGAAGCACACACTGAGAGATGTCAGTACAAGCAAATGAGGTATCCATGCATTTACAGCATAACACTTTTGGCCGGAATAAAAAGTCATAGTTTTTATGCACAAAGATACAGACCACACTTCAATTACTGTAACACAATGGAAAGCTCCATGCGACTGCTATGAACACATCCCTCAGACTGGTGTTTCCACAACCCTCGTCGTACGAAGCTATGAAACCCATTAATGACAATCTGTGGTATTATACAAGAACGCTATTTATTTTAATCTGGCAACGCTTAAAACTCCCACTCCAGAATATTCCCACACCTACTGAGCCACACATTTCCAGGCAACCAGGAAAGGCGGACGTTTCTGCTCCGGCCAGGAAAGGAGACCAGCTACAGCTCAACCAGCCCAGAGACGCCCCAGTGCACCACCTTCCCCGGCAAACAAGGCCGGGCGGCACGTGGTCCCTGGGCATTTGCTTCCACTGCTAATTACAGTCTCGGCATATTTCAGACAGGAATAGATCCATTGATCTCCTCGAGTGTTCCCAGCCCATTTGATGGGGTTTGTCCCCATTCTGCGAGACAACAGCAGCTGTACCATCCCAGCAGATGTCTGCCAACCCACTCCTCACATCTACTGGATGAAGTGCTCACAACCCCTCGTGAAATCCCTTTCCCCACCTTATAATCCATCCTACTACTAAAATGGTTTTATTCATATCCAGATCTTTTTTAATTCACATGTTAAGCCTCTGGAAAACTGACTAACCTCACCATTTCTGCAACAGCTTTTCTGGTTTCGAAGACTGTTCGACCTCACTTCCCCCTTTCATAACCTACGTAACACCCTATTTCAATACTTCCCTGTGGGTCATATTTAGCAGACTGCTAAGTAAGGTCTGCTCATTCCCACTGCTCTTTCCTGGGCTCCTTCCAGCAGGTCCATGTATATTCTGGAGTCCAGTGCCAGGATGGACACAATATTCTGCCAAAAGAGGATTACTTCACATGCCTCGCTGGCCACAATCCTGATTTTATATTTAGTGGTGTGATCCAGCTGAGACAGTACAACCTACAGCTCACTGTAACAGCCAAGTCAATTAAAAAATCTACCTGTTCTCCACCCTGTATTTCTATAATTACTCAGCACAGAAGACCCCGCTTGTTTTGACTGACCAGCACTGCATTTTTTCCCCCTCCTGTAGTTCATGGAGAGCTTTTGTAATTCTGTCCTCGTCCTCGGTGTGGTTACAGTCCTTCTCAGCACGCAAGCAGAACACAGAGGTTCTTCACCCCAGCGTGCACACTGTCAACTGAAACGCTGCGGCATAACTGACCTCTGACGCTCTCGTGCAAACTCCCTGCATCCATCCTTCCCCGCGCACAGGGAAGCGCTGATAACTGTCCTCAAGTCAATTTTCCCAACAGTTTCACCCCCTGCACGCCGCAGTTTCACCCAGGCCACATCTCCCCGTGTCGCTAGCAAGAACACGGTGTCAGACAGTCAGGACAACACGCGTGGTATCTCTCCTACTACTGCTCCCTTTATCAACAAGGCTTATTACCCCTGCAGAGGAAGAAAAAAGTTTAACTGATGTGACACATTATATTGTTGACAAGCCCATACCAAGTAATAGAATTTTCTCCTCGATGTTTCCAAATAATTTAATTATTTTTCCAGTAGTTTTCCAGAACATGAAGTTAAGTTGACAGATTGCCTTGCTTCGTCTTCTTCCCTTTCACAACATTTCATTTTATTGAAGACCTTTGTTTTACTAAGCCCTGTCCGTGTTCCCGTGTTCATCAGACCACCTACGCCACCGATTTTTCAGCAGCGGTTACAGAGAAGTGGCAGGCAAGCCGATTTTAAAAATATTTACGTGAGTAACATTTCATTGAAATCTGACTTACCAATTTTCTGATGAAAGATCTTGTCGAAGGTCAATTCACCCCTCTCCTCAAGGTATTTCTGCATAACACTGCGGATACTGAAAGGGAAAAGGAAAAAAAAAAAAGAGTTAGTTGAAACTGCTTATTTTAAACCAGACCTTTAACATACTCTGGAGAAAAGGATCACTAAAATGAAGCATCAGTGTAGAAGACTCATGCAAAATGAATACCAGTGCCCATCTCCTGCATCAACGCACAGGAGGAGCGGCTGCCTGCTGCTCTGGCGGAAGACCACGAGAGTGCATTGGACTGCAACCACTCCCGCCACCGGCCTGCAGTCACGTCACAAACCCGGGGAGATGGCCGAGTTCACAGAATTCAACATTGCAAATTACTTTATGAAAATTCAATCTTCATCTCTGACTACCTCTCCAGACATCACCTCACCAGCCTGAACTTCGCCATGTACTCTCGATACTGTGATTTTTAAGGGTTTGTTTTTAAAGGTTCTTGGAGTTTGAGGTACACAAGAAAAATCACTTTTCCCCACTGTAAATATTAATACCATCCAGTGTAGAATATTAGTAATATTACTATTTATTCAGTGTAGAAGAGACAAAGCTTTTACATTCCAACCTTAAGGTACCAATAGCCTACACCACACAGCGTGATGTTGCTAGAACTCCCCTTCAGGGCTATACTTATCTAATACAGTTTGAAAATACCACAACCGAGTATAAACTCGGGAAAAAAAAAGAAAAAAAAAGCCATTGGTGATTGCACATAGTTCCCTTCACGGTACGCCACTAGAGAAGCGAGAGCACGGCAGTCTAAAGGAGAGCTCCCCGGCTCTCCCGGGGCTGCCCAGCGGGGTTTCTATCCCGGTCGGGTACTTGCGGGTGGGGTGGAAGGGCAGGACGGGGTTGCCACCACCGAAGGCTGGGTGCTCCTCCCGGAGACCACGCACGGCGGGCTGTACCGCGGGAGCTGAGCCCTGGGGTCACCGCACTTCCCAGGGGACGTTCTGGCCAGCGCCTCCTTTCTTTACTCTTGCCTCAGGTTTTAGCTTGCACCTTGTAAAATAAACGTACGAGTCAATCAAAGCTCCATCAGGCTGTTAACACTGCAATTGCCATATATCATTTGGAAAGTGAGCCAACATAAGCTCCATTAGGCCCCTAGCTTGGCTGCAGTGCACTTAACAGCTACTTTGCCTAATTTATAATGTCACAATCACTCATTTAAACCACATTAACAAAGATTTCCTTTATTCGTCAAATAACCTCAATATTCATTTTAATATAATGCCTATAAAAATTTCATACGGGCCACAATACAAGTACATCAATTTTAAAATCAATGGAACCCAGCGGTACCGCGCCTCGGTAAAACAACTGTATTGTCACAGCATTAAGGCAAAATTCCACTAGACTTTTTCTGCTTCCATTTTTAAAATTGGTATTTTCATACATACTATTTACTTTTATAAAAATCACCACAAATACCCTGTACAAAGTACTCGTGCCCTAAACAAGGTTGTTAAATACCACTCACGTTTCTGTAGACGACTGAGCCCCTAATCCTTGTAAAACGCTGACTCAGAACTACTTCGTGTCAGAAAGACGCTGAAAAATCTCTTTCTGAAACGCAGCAGAACAGGCCGCTTCTCATGGACAAATTTCAACATTTTCTGGAGAGGAAAAGCTAGATTTCTGTGGTTATTTCTCATCCATCTTTTCTCTCAAGCCTCTTCCCTCACTAAGCCGTGGCCGTGCAGGTTTGGCTCACCGCGGGCAGCAGAGCCCTGATGGCGGCAGACCCATCGGACAGTGCCGCGAAGGGCCGAGCCCGTCCCCTCTCACCTGCCCACAAGGACCCCCGCACCAGCGCTCCTGCGAAACCTCACCACTGTTAACAAACACCTCCTCCATCGTCTCTGAGGGAGGAAAGCATCGCCGCTCCTCCTCCTCCAAGGAGGACCCGAGGCGTGAAGCCTGAATGACTTGACCAGAAAAAAAGTCTATAATAAAAGCCCAGAAATTAACTCGAAAGCCCTCAACTCCCATCGAGGAAATTATTCTATTCATAATTTTTGTGCATATCTTAAAGGCCCACACGGAAGGCAGATCTATGAACGCTGCGATCCAAAGCGAGAACTCCGGAGGTTAACCACCACATCACGATTAACAAGGACTGGGAGGGCTGAACGTTGTTAATCAGGTTTCAGACTATAAATTATTCAGTGATGAACTTACTAGTCTTTTTGTTTGTTCGTTAAAAACTGGGTCTACTCTCTGTGTATTTTCACAACCTAAACAACATTCTGATTTCAACCGAAAAGGAAGCAGTAAATAGAGACCATGTTCTGTTCCGGGGAAAAGCAAGGTAGGAAAACAAAACTGATCACGTAATTGACAGAATTGCAAAATTTGGCCGCCTGTTCTATGGGTGGATTTTAAAAAACATACATCCTAGCTTAACGTGTTTGAAATGGGGGCCGTGAAACTTAATTCTTTGCAGAAATCCATCCAATGTTAGCACAGTGATGGCAAAATACCTCTAGTTGTACTGACACCTTGCCGTACCGGTGTGCACGGGCAGCACAAGCCCCGCGGCTTCCCCCGGGGCCGTGGAGCAGCACGGTTGGGCTGGCAGGAGCCCGGGGAGGGCAGGAGGCACAGGAAGGTTTGGGAGATGCCGGCAGCTCTGCCCGCTCCTTCCCTCTCCATCCCTCTTCTCCCAGGGCCACCTTCCCCTCGCCTCTCCATGCTCACGGGAGGACCACCTGCAAATGAAGGTGGTGTGCAGCACCAGGGGCCACGGAGGTCCCTCTCCTCGGCCTCCCGGGTGACCCCAGCCATCGGCGCTGCCCAGCCCAGCGCCCCCACTTGGAGCACTCTTCGGCAACGTCCCGTTCCCACCGACCGCTAGACCATTAGTAACATAATAAGCCTTTTTAATAATAATGACATCAAGAAAGCTTCCCTCTGCTCGAACAAGCGCGCTGCAAGAAATTACACAAACACACCCTAGTCTAGACAACGGGAGAAGATAATGAAAAATTTAACGTATGACTGAAGTGTCCAGGAAAACACTCTGGTTGTGTAACGAACAAATCTCTCCAACGTTTCTCTCCTCCTCCCCCTTGACATCACGCGCTTCTGCTCTGACGGATAACATGTCAAAGGCACAAAACGTTTTTGCAGCTACAGAATCTGAACAAAGCTGTAAAACGATCACAGGCCACGGGAGCCCACACGGCATTCCAGCTTCTAGACAAGAGGCTTGCACCTTCAAAATCTCTGCTCCTTAGCCATATAAATAAACAGGAATCAATTACATGGAGTGGACTATGACTACCCAGAATAATCGACTTCTAATTCTTACACGGCAGTTAAAGGTAAAAATCCTACTGAGTTCAAAAGAAACAAAGCAGAATCCGTATGTCCTTTAAAAGGATGGAATTTTTTTAAATATAGCCTAGCGCATCCCACAAACAGGAAGGAAGGTTCCCTCTCTGCCTTTGTGTATCGAATCATTAGTTGCCCTGCACGTAAACAATCGGGGATTAAAAGCTGCATTTCACAGAAAAGCAGCCATTTCTAAAAAGCTTTCCATATCCAAATATGCTTTCAGCGCAAACAATGCGCTAATGCGAGAAGTGGACTTTTTGCGTAAGTTCATCTCAGTTCACAGCAGGATCCACCTCAGCAGCAACACTCAAAATAAGCAGAAACAAAAGCTGGCTCAAAAAGAAATCCGGGCAGACTTCAGAAACAAAAGCATATCGGACTGTACTGTAGCAAAACCTTTTGTCCATATATTTACTTCAGAGAGGAAGAAAACAGCAAACAACAAAAATTTCAGAAACCTTCAGTTTGCCATCCACATGCCTCAAGTAAAACTGAAATAACAGGACAAATATATTTAGGGGAAATCACAGGTCAGGCTTAAAATTTTGTGAGACAGGCGACTTGGACTCTGGATACCTCTTTGCTGGTTTAACCGGGACCACATTTAAGCGGGTACCGGGGAGGAGGGTGCAGCCCGTCGCCCCGCGCCCAGGTCAGCCGGGGAGAACTAACACAGTGGTGAGATGGTAAAGAAGTTTTGGGAGTGGTTTTTAACTGCAAACAAGACGAGCACCTCGCTCCCCGGCGATGCAAACGGCACCCACGTAGGGCGGCAGGCTGCTGCGGGGGCCGTGGGCGGCAGGGCGCTGCGGCACGGCGACGGGCGCTCAGGCGGCGCGACTCTGGCAGCCCCGGGGGAGAAGCTGCCCTTAAAGAAAGGGCTGAACGAAAACACCCGGCTTGAGAAGCAGCTCGGAGCACGCTGCCAGCCCAGGAGCAGGCGGAAAGATGACGATCTGCATCAGCAGCAAACCATAAACTTTGTGAAGAGCACAGGTCGCTCGGTCAGCTCCTCCACTTCCCCAGAAAAGGGGTTTATTACAGGTGTGAGCTGAAGAATCCGTTCAAAGGAGCTTTAAGCCGCCTCCTGAAGCTCTAGTTACTCTAGCCAGCATCCTGGTCTTTCAGACTTGATCAAAGAAATCCACGGAAAAGCAACCTTTACGGTTAAAATGCATTCTGTAATTAAACGGTTCTCGCCGTGTACAAGCAGGCGCGGCGGCACGCAGTCCGGCAGGGCGCAGGCAGCCGTCGCAGCGCCAAGGTCGGCACCGGCAGAAGACGCCAACTTGAAAACACGTCTCCCGAAGAACTGAGAAGAAAACACATTCTGTTCTTTCTAACACAGAAAAGGACATGTGTACGGCAAGAGCAACCCTCCCTCTGGGGCGAGCTGCGCCAGGAGCAGCGACGCAGGAGGTGCCTTCCCGGGGGAGCTCACCCCGGAGCATCTGCCCTCGGCTGCCGCCAGAACCACACGCCAGTGCCGACGGCAATAGCTACTCCTGCCGTTCAACCCCCCATAACAGATCAGTAATGTTCCGTGACTCCAGGGGTAAGCAGAAATCACACTTTGCCGGGTGTATGAGTGTACCTGCAGCCGCGCAGCCCATGGGACGGCACTGGCGCCCCAGAACAGTCCATCAGGCAGCCCGGAGCACGGCCGCAACGGATGCGGGCGTATGCTGAAACTAGAAGTTACGGAGGACAATCAAATAAACAGCATTCACTTTGACATTTCCTAAAAGCTCTGCTATTAATTTCTGAGATGCATGGATTTTTGTCCCCACAGGTGTGTTGTACTCAATTATGCAGGAGCTCTTTTGAAAGCATCTCGCACCTAGGAAATGGAAAGGGTAAAGAAAGATGCGATGGTATGTGTATGTATACATACCCTTACTGTTGGAACTAGATCAAGAAGCTACTTATTATTGGCCTTCTTACTACTGTATCTTAAAGGAGCTTTTAATTATTTATCATGAAAGCACATTATTTTTTTCTTATAAATCAATAAGAGTTCAGAGTTGTGGGATATTATCTATTGTACAGATG